GCTTACTCTTTGTCTTGCTTAAATTGCCCATGAACCTGCTATACTTGCTTTTATTGCTATTTCAGAGAGATATTTCCTCAGCATGTAAAATTACTGCATACTACTTCATCGTTTTTTCTTTTTTCTTTTAGAAGCCCTTTAACCTTCTGAAAAGCCTGCGTAGAAATTGTATGGACAGCAGAAATGTTACATTTCCAATGTTTGCACCTAGAAAAGCCATCTCAATAATTAAACAGGTGAGTTATCAATACATGTTTAATGCTTTCTAATTACTGATTTGTCAGCCAAATTAAATGTTTTCATTCACCAATGATGATGAGTGTAAATTCATCCTTGGCAAGCTGCCCCCGAACAAATGAATTCTTAGAGCAGAACTCTCCGAAGGTAGTGATTTTCTGGTTCATAAAAGACCCAGGAATAAAGTCTTCGCTCAGTACATCTCTCTCCAGTCTCAGGTGGTTCCTCTTCCTTCTTTATAACATCTGTCAGATATCATGAACTGGTTTAGAAAGTATTAAAAAGGAGGATGGGGTTTGAAAGAGGGACAGTGTTTGGTTTTTATTTTGTAATTCATATTCTTTATATTGTATCAATTAAACATGTTAGTTTAGTTAGTATTACAATTAAACAGGTTAGTATTATATTTGGATTATAATGTAGAGTAAAACCAGTGTCAAGTGATAAATCCATCCTTTACATTACCTGCAGGAAAACACATGGAATCCTGATGTTTATCAATCACAGTAACATTATCTATATTTTATCTTTAATTCCTTTTACAGCTGTTAACAAATAATCCAGAGGTTCGTTTGGGAGGAGGAGAAAGCGATGCAGAAGAAGTAAAGACCCATCATTTCTTTAAAGTACGTCTGTTCATGGACTTTCCAATCATGGGGAGTTTTCCTTTAGGAGGGAAAGACACAATCTGATAGATAAATAAACATTATATGTTAGTTGTGCTTTAAAAATAATGCCCGATATCCCTGTAGTTCCTGCATTTTGGGAACTATACAGAATTTAGCTTTTATGGAAAAAGTGTTCTGATATCTATCATTATGTATGGTTTACTGATTTATACAGCGGCACATATTTATTATCTTAAATTATCTTTTTTTAACAGAGCATTGATTGGACTGCCTTGGTAGAAAAGACAGTGAAGCCCCCGTTTGTTCCCACCATCAAAGATGTCACCCTCAAAACAATTATCCCACCAAAGTCAATTTTAACCCCACTACAATATCCATGTGAACTTGTACAGGAACAAGAGGATATGTTTAAAGATTTTACTTGGACTGCAGACATTTTCAAACCAGGTCAAGAACAAAAATAATATCAGCTGCAGTGCTTCCTAACATTATATATTATCAACCACAAGACTTCAACAACCAGTGGTGACTAAACTCGGGCACCCCTAATTAAATTGACCACACCCCTTCCTGTCAAAGCCACACCTCTATGGTGGATCCAGTGGGGTGAACAACCAGAGGAGAATAGGATGCATCTACTTTATCTATATCCTACTCCATCTGCATGGATTTTAAACCCATAAAGCGATTGTGAGTATCGGAGCATTCCACCTCCATATACTCACCTCCTGATATCTTGTAAGCAGCTGTACATTTATTTCTGTACATTTATCTACTTTTAAATGTGACTTATATATGTTTCGTTTGTGCAATAAATCAATTGTTATATATTGACTATACACATCCTTTACTAAACAATTGTAAGCCATTTCTCAGATATACTGCATGATAATGTGTTTTTTTGTGCTTCTTGTTTTGTATGAGAATGTTGGATTGACCAAAAGCCACCTAAGTATACCGTTCCAATTGTGGTATTTGCAATTACTGGTGTGTATTGGGGCTTATTGTCACCACTTATTTTGCTCTCCACTTATATATTTATTTTTTATGAATAAGTCGTACATAGATGTACATAGATGAAAGATACAAAAATAAACAAAAACAAAGAATAATTTACAGTAATTACAATACAATAGCCTCATTATATTATTATTTCATGTATAATTAACATTTAACCTTTTTTGAAATGTAGTGAAAAGGAAAAGAAACGTTTACTATAAGAGTCAATAGTTTAAGTGGGAAAGAAAAAGAGGAAGGGTAATAAAGGAGGGGTAAGGGAACTGGGGGAAATTATAACCCTTGGAATTACATAGTGATATGAGAATTAAAATATATTCTCCAAAGCAAACACACATCAGTACTTTGCAGTAATTGAAATAGCATCAAAGGGTTGCATCATATTAACAATGAAATCCCCGCGTTCATATTAGTCGTATTCACTTCCCCATTACCGCCCATAGGTTAGGGGTCCATCTAGTTCTTCCAATCAAAAAGATGTGTTGTGGCACCGTTTCTATTTTTGTTTTTGCATCGTAATTAGCTACTATGAAGTTTTTTAAGCTAGAACATTTGTTACTGGTTTAGGACAAACTGATTTAGGACAAAACTTACAAGGCATCATTACTGTGTGTTTTACCTCCAGTCTAGCATAACTTTAACATTTGGTGATTATAACAAGACAAAATTACTAAGTCGTTGTTCACAATCAATGTTTGCATAGATGTCTTTTAGAAAAAATTGTTGTTACTCATCACCTGCAAAAATAATAATAAAAAAAAAACAATGCTAGTACCGTGATCCACACCATAACCACTGTGAGAAAAATCACCATAACTACTGCAAGCAATGAGGGATTTTGTTACAGTTACCAACAAAAAAATAATAAAATCATTATAAAATAAATAAATAAAGGAAAAGTTTGCTTTATGCATTTCACAGCTAAGGCGTTTTCTCATAAGTAAACTATCTCAAATATCATATAGGGTTATTTACTAAAGTGGTAATTCAAAGTGAATTTCAAATCTAAATATTTTAGACCAGAGTAGCTGAAATCAAAGCATAGATGACAGAGAGTTGTTCCATTTCAGCTACTTTGGCCTTAAAATTGCAATTCACTTTGAATTCACCTTGAATTCTCACGTTAGTAAATAACCATTAAAGAATGAAGCTCTCTCTTTTGATTGGTGTCAAACATGCCAGGTTGGAGTCCACAATCTCTATTACGCCATGGACTCCCAACATAATTTTTTCTAATTCCTCTGGCTATGCATCACGCACTTTGTTAGATCTTGTCAATGCAGTAGGAATTCATATTTTGTTAGGCTCCTCGTGCCCCCATTCACTTAGAAGGCAAGGGAACCAAAGAAGACATTGTCTAAACCACAGAAAATATTCTGCCACTGTCAGAGTGGCAGTTTTCTGAGACAGGTAAGGAGCTGTCACAGTATTCCCTCTTGTTAAAGGGACACTCCAGACCCTAAAGCACGTCAGCTAGCTGAAGTACATTATGTGTGAAGTGTGTGTCCTTTTTTCATTTTACAAAAGTGCATTTTTTTATAGAACTGTACGCTTTTATAAATTAACCTGGTTACGCCCCTCAGTGCTTTATGTGTGTGGAGTAGTCCTTAAACATCTCAATCTGTGCGTATAATTCATTTTTATATTGTTCTGACATACTTCTCATGATTCCATATGCAACACTTCAATACCTATCAGCACACTGATCAAAATTTGGATTAAGCAAAATAACTTTTTGTTTGATGTCAGATTAGAATAGTTGAGTATTAAAGGGATACAATAGTGCCAGGAAAACAAAGCAGTTTATTTGGCACTATATTTCCCTACACTGCCCCCTCCCTCATGGACCCCCTACCCGGTGCTGAAGGAGTTAAAACCCTTGCTGGATGTCCTCAAGAACAGCGAGAGGACATTCAGTGTAAGTTAGGCGACTTTTGGTTGGAAGGTGCCTCTAGTGGCTGCCTGGTATAAGCCGCTATAGGTGGAGTTAACCCTGAGAGAGGTTATTATTGCAATTTCTCAGAAACAGCAATAATTACCATTGCAGGGTTAAGGGGACAGGGACATTGCACCCAGACTACTTTAACGAGCTGAAGTGGACTAGGTGCCTATAGTGTCTCTTTAAAGTGTTTTAAAATAGAATTTCAAATGTAAGGCCAAAGTAGCCAAACTGGAATTACAGCTGACTTGGAGCATTTTTCCAGTTTAGCTATTTGGATCTTAAATTTGAATTTCCCTGTGAATTCCTGACCATTCTCACTTTAGTAAGTAGCCCTGTAACTTTCAAAAAATATAATTTTACCTTGAAGCTTTCAAACTATGTATTTTCAATAAAGCAGTAAGTCTGCACCTAAACACTCATCAGATGAATACAGCTCCAGATAGTTTCCTAGATCCACCATACCAATCGTTGACACCATTAGACAGAGCATGAAAAGTGCTGCCGTGATGTAGAATTCCGTGTTACAGGAGGGAAACTTGCATGGTTCTTTACTGATATGTGAGATCAAAGCAGTTTCTAAGTGACTTTCAAATTTAAAGTCAGAGTATCTGAACTGAAAGCAGAGCTGACAGAAAATGGTTCCAGATTGACTTAAAAATTTACTTTGAATTCTCACCCTGTAAGACATCACAATAACCCTGTAAGACATCACCCTCATTATCAAGGTTATTTACTAAGGAGAGAATTCAAAGGGAATTTCAATTCTAAGTCCAGTCACTGAATGCAAAGCATAGCTCGCTTCAAGAATTCTTCACATTCGGCTATGTTGGCCTTAAATTTGAAATTCGCTTTAAACTCACCTTTAATTCTCACTTTATTCAATAACCCTGTAAGTAACTGATTCCCCCCCGCAGCACATGAATACTGAATACAATATATTTTATTTTCTGAGCGAACAACCAATAAATGTCTAGGAACCCATTGAGGATCTAACAACTTTAATAACGAGTAAAGAAGCTTTTACAGGTGTCTGTAATTGTTTTCCCCAGTTAAAGGGTACATGCAGGTGGTGGGTGGGATTATACAGATTACCTTTCCTAGTTAGAGGTACCTACCTGCAGCTGGTGGGAGAGGTATATAAAGGGCAGGGCTGTACAGGTAGTCATTGTACTGCAGTCAGAATGGGACAGTGGGTTAGACTGAGTTGCCTTTTCTTGGTGTTACTGGTTTCTGGCCCAGAGTTGGCTGTTTCCAGGAAGCATGTCCTAGCCAGGAATCGGAGACAGTATGACTCCTGGTGGGGGAGGACACCGTCTGGTTGGGGGTCCTCCAGGCTGAATGTTGGGGTGGGTCAGTCCAGACAGCTGCAGACTCCTGTCCAGCATCCTATCAGTGTGCAATGTATGGAGGATGCAATGGTGGTATCTGTAAAGCGGGATCTCTATGGAAATGGGCGACTGGTGAAAGCCTCAGATCTGAGTCTGGGTCCCAGGCAGTGTATGCCAAGCTCCCAGAGTACAGCAACTACTGTGATCTTCCAGCAGGGGCTGCAGGACTGCGGCAATACCTTACAGGTGAGGAAACTTCTCTCTAGGTATTCATGAACTCTGTATTTTGGTGTGTGTGTGACTTGAAATTGTGAACTGACTCTTGGATGTTGGAGATATAGGTGTGTATCAAACGAAGGGGTGCTGCTGTAACAGTGCCTTGTAGTGGATATGGTGCTCCTGGTTTCCCATTTTTAAGTCAAGTCCACTTTTTCCAATGGAAAGCTAGAAGTTCTTCAGTTGGAATGGCTTATTGGAGCTTGTATCTCTGCTGGAACTAACAAAAGCAGGGAAACCCCAGATTTAAAGACTTTAAACTGGCATGCCTGCTTACAATGGGCAAGTGGGGCACTCCTGGTACCATCACTACTGGCTATGGTGTCTGGAGTGTTGCTTTAAAATCCTTGAAGAGATTCTGCAAATGTATCCTATGGTCATGTCCAAAGGGGCACATAGTGGTTGATCAGGGTACTCCATGCAAAACCAATTTGACCTGGACTTCAAACTTGGAGGCTCACAGAAGTGACCTATGAAAAACTACCCAGTCTAAGCATTTCCTTTGGCACCTCTCTCAATACAAGTTACATTTAAAGTGTGGTGGGCATAACCATGTGGTGTGTGGGTTTTTTTTTTTTTGTTTTTTTTTAAGACTTTATACTGCATAGAGATGTGGACTGATGACATATCATGAAGGAGCGTAATAGTAAAGGCTGCACAAACTATAGGTGGCCCTTGAGTGCTGTGTGGTCCAGATCTATTGCAGTTCACTCCTTAAGGATTAAAGGGATCTAGTGTATAGAGCATACCCATGTAGTGTCTCTGCTCAGTTCTTGGCTATTTTAGCATTAACTCACTCTTGTTGATGTATCCCTACCTACACCCCCACAAACTGACTCAGTCTCCATCAGACTGCTTCAGGCAGACTGCAAGCATCCTGTTCATGGCTTTACAGTCCCAATATTTGGGTACTGTTCCCTGGTGTCCTGCTCTTGGGAACACCAGGGATCTGTCACCAGCAATCATAGCTTGAGTACATCACTAGTAGCTCACATGTAGTTCATGGCAATAGCTCCCAGCAGGTTCTGGTGGATGTGAAGCCAGGCTGACCCACCTATTAACCCCCCTTTACCACCACCCACTGTTGATCTGGTTCCTTGGACACTAGAGTTGGGATGTATGGACTATGTGAAAGAAGTTAGGTTGTGCATATTGAGGACCAGCCTGTACAATCTGCATGCTTCCCCAGAATGCCTGCTAATGAAAACTGGGTTTATACAACTCCACCATCACTAATCAAATGAAGGCACTCTTCTAAAGATTTGACACTTAATCTCTGGCCTATGTATGGGATTAGATTAAAACTGTGTTCTGTGTACTGCTCCTTACCTACAACTTGCAGCCATGGCAAACAAATGTAGTGGTCAATATCGTGTCTTCTGCAGCTTATTAATGAGAATGTCGGACATCTTCAGTTTGTGGAGTTTCTTGTGTCTTAACAAACCTGATTTTGTATCTGCAGATGACTTCAGACTGGCTGATCTATAGCACGAACTTGACCTACAGCCCAACCCCTTCCAGGAACAGTCCCATTATCCGTACCAACTCTGCTGTGATTCCTATCCAGTGCTACTACCTCAGGTGACCACCACTCTGTTATGTCTCAATCTAGCTTTCAGGTGATAATGCCTGTACTGGTATCAGTCTGACAGTTGCTAGAGATGTTACTCTGGTAAACACTGCTTTTCCATCGTTACAAAGAAATCATTTTACCAGAAAAGGGACATCTATGAACCAGTTAAAGGAACACTAGAAGCACCCACACTCATTGAAGTGGTCTGGGTGCCATCCTTGGTAATGTAGCAATGCAAAACACTACCTTTTTGAGAAACTCAAATGTTCACTTTGCAGTAAGACCGTCTCTAGCAACTTACTAAAGGGAGTCCCTTAAATGACACTGGATGCCCTCGCACTCTGCATTATGGTATCTGTAAATAAACTACAGAAAGTGACTCAATGTTTTCCTATGGGGAGGGCCTTATGTGCTTGTGGCGCTCAACCCATGCATATTCGCGTGTTTTTTTTTTTGTTTGTTTTTTTTCTCCCCCTTTCGGATATATATCGCGTTGGAAGCAGGTGAGTAAACTAACTTTTATTCCCAATACTAGAACCCCATAATTATGTCTGTTTGGTACTTTAAGCTGCAATAAAGGGTACAGCTTAAAGTCACATAAATATTACCAAAATAAGTACAAAAAGTATTGTGCAAAACACTACTTAGTGACTAGTTTGGTCAACTTACAAAGTTGACTTTCTAATATCCGCTGCTGTGACACTACAATATGTAATCTCTCACTACAAATCCAACAGTAATGCAGTGCTTGTATATGCACTGCATGGTACTTTGTTTTGTGTGTGTATATATATATATATATATATATATATATATATATATATATATATATATATATATATATATATATATATATATATATATATATATATATATGACATCCACTACCAACTGATCAGATAAGTGGAGCTGCTGAATACACTGCTAGCAGTCTGCAATACAATGAATCCAGCGCTGGTTGCTATAGTGATGTCATGGCATCAGAGGTAGTAACGTTAGTGCAGAGTTGGTCTTCAGGCTTTAGTGTGCCCCATTGAAACACGTATAACCAAAATGTCAGCCCCTGTGGACTTAACCTACAAACCTCATTCCTCTTGCTCTTTCAGTCCACCCAACTGGCCTACTTTTGGCAAGGCTGTCTCAATTTACAGATCATGTCCTACATTTGGGGCCACTGGGGGAAGTTCCTCAAGCATTGGGAACTAAAACTGCCTGGCTGACATCCCCTTCAGTGGGTGAGCACATCCAGTGACCAGCTGAAGGGTGACTTGTATATCTCCGTATGTTGGGAGAGATGTTAATGTCTTCCCTGAAGGCGGCAAGCCACAATAAAAACTGCAGCATTAAATGTCATGATTCTGGTACACCACTTCACAATACCCCATGCTTCGAGAATGACATCCAGAGATGTTTTTCTGTCTTCTGAAAACCACCCATTCCTAATATCAGGATAAACTTATTCTCCTGATACTGGTTCTAACATGTAAAACTCTAGTGCTGTGCCAGCCTATAGCTGTATAAAACCTGCTGCAGTAAAGGGCAGCATCCTTGGTACAGTCTAGGACAATTATACACTGACTTCAGCCATCCAAGTGTTTGTATCACTCCTGCATCCAGCACTAGGACCACACTTCATTAATGCTCTGCATGGCTGGTCCTGAGTGAGATGTGCTATCAGGCTGTAGTGGTTATGGTGCCAGATGTATCTTAGCACATCCCAAATGGCTCCTTCTACAGAATTGGGGAGCAGTGCAGTCGTCGGCTGTGCTGTCACTAATTATAACCATTTGGCTGATCACTGTGGAATGATGCTTGGTGTAGAATTTCTATAAAATACATAAGTGACTACATTCACTCGTGTATAGCTGCCATGTTAAGAAGGATCTTTCAGAAGTCAATAAAACTTTACCCACAATCCATCAGTCCCACAGTAGTCAAGCAGCAGATAAAATGGCTGTGCCCAGGTATTGCTATCTGGTGAAAAACTTGGTGATTTAAAGTCAAGCTGAGTATTATCTAAGATACCGGGTGTGTAAGGAAAGTCAGACAGCTCTTGCATGTGTGATTGGGTGTATAATTGTCTGCCCTACACGTAAGCTCCATACCTTTCTGCCGGTTTGTAAATGTATGAGGTGAACTGCTGCACTTGTAACATAGCTACATGGTCCTTTTATTTTGTATTTGTTTTTAAATCAGAAACTGCTCTGGTAAACTAGTCTGTGGAGTACATATGATCAATGGGGCCCTGGTGTGAAAACTTATCCATGGGCACCCACCCTGTTGCAGAGTTCCGGAGTGACAGGCCTGATTGCACCTGCAACCGCAGAATGTACGCCACAGACTACTGTAGTGGGAGTTGTACAAACAAATCTCCCCTAATAGTTCTGGTGTAGATCATGCCCATGCAGTCTCATGGTTCTAATCCCTGCCATTTAGTGATGCAATCACTTTGTTTGTTCAGCCAGTCACAGCTCCTCTGGGAGACTCAGTCAAATGGTTTAATTTTTAAACTGGATGTGAAAGCACAGTACAACTTCAAATCCGCTTTTCCTGCTCTAATGGCTAAGACACCAAAGGAAAGCGTGGATTTGATAGACATGTCTTCATGTAAAGCCTGAGTACATCAGCAGTTTCAGAGTCAAACTTCATGAAATGGGAGCACCTCTAGTTTCTCTGAAATGTAATATTTCAGATTGTAGTATTAAAATGACAGTGTACCCTAACAACTTCAATGAGATTACCTGGTCTTGGTCCCTTTTTATTACAGTGTTTACTGAAGTCAAATATGCAGACTACTCCACGGAGGCTGTATGAGTCACAGCCAGAGGGGGTTTAGCTAGGGATGCATAAACAAGAGTACTCCTTTCTCTGCCATTTGAGTAAAATCAGTGACTTCATTTCTAAAGCTAAAATTCTGGTGCTTGGTGCACTTTAAAAACATTAATTCAGAACTTACTGAAAGCAATGTAATGAGATATTCACATATTTATTTTTTTCTGCAGACATGGCAATGTGAGCAGCAATGCCATCAAACCAACATGGATTCCCTTCAGCTCCACCATATCTGCAGAGGAACGTCTGTCCTTCTCATTGATGCTGATGAATGGTAACTACTGGCTGGATGTTATGGGTGACTTGTGTCTCTGCTGTCACTAACCCCATTCAATGTGTAACCTTCCAGATGACTGGAGTGCTCCACGGACATCTTCAATATTCACTTTAGGTGATATATTCCACATAGAGGCTTCTGTTGACACTACAAACCATGTGCCTATGACGATCTTTGTGGACAGCTGTGTGGCAACATTATCCCCTGATGCCACCTCCAGCCCTCATTATGAGATCATTGCTCAGAATGGGTAGGTTATGCCACTTGTGGTATTGTGGTAGCTGGTAATACCCCTTCTAAACCAGTCTGTGCTTTGCAGGTGTCTGTTGGATGGCAAACAGGAGGATTCATCCTCTGCATTTAGATCCCCAAGACCCACACCAGACCGGCTCCAGTTCACAGTTGATGCCTTCAGATTTGTTGGATCTGATAACTCCATGGTGAGTATCTAGTCAAAAGTCTCTGTACACTTTGAGAAACCTCCTAAATGTAACCTCTGTTTGTAGATCTACATCACCTGTAACTTGAGAGCTGTTGCAGCAAGTCAGGTTCCTGATCCCATGAACAAAGCCTGTTCCTTTAGCAAATCCTCCAACCTGTAAGTAACGACAACCTCAAGCAGGGTTGTTGGCAACACTGAGGCTTGAGGACATAGCTGTTAGTAAACATTCTAACTGAGGCTAAATCCTCAAATGGATTAATGGTTTTTCTTCCTTAGCTGGACTGCTCTGGAAGGAAATAGTGCCATATGCAGCTGTTGTGAGACTGGAAACTGTGCTACAACTGGTAGCAGCCGGAGACTTAATCCATGGTATCCTGGACAAAGGGGTGTTGGCAAGAGAGAAGTTCCATCTGGTGAGTTAAATAATGTCAAGATACATTTAGTGCAGTGTGATGCATAACTGGACTGCTACCTCTTGGGTAACTTCAAATCCGCTGACCTGTCAGCATGTACTGAAGCCTACTTGTTTTCACAGGACCTCTGTCAGACCAAGAACACAAATGGACGACACTGGGACCTCTGCTGGTGGTTGGTGCGGAGCAGAGCCAGGCTCTTGCTGTGACCCAAGAATCTACAAGTGTGGAGCTCTGGGTGTTGGTGACCCTTGGTATCCTGAGTGTGGCTGTCATTGTGGTTGGAGCTCTTGTAGCATTTATTATGAAGTAATCATGGTCTCCAAGCTGAGAAAAAAATAAAACTTTTTAAAAAGCTAATGTGTTGCTTCATTATTTGGGTAGACCATTCTCCCAAGGAGCATTTAACCTGGAGGGGACCTGCTAGAATAAACCCATGTCCTTTTTGGGCATCTTTGAAATTCAGCAAAACCATACAATTATTGCATCTTATTCCAAGTAGCTTGTCACTAACTTGATAAAATGGATACATGGCTTTAGCATAAAGTTTTCTGAAGCCATTTAAATTTCATTAAAAGGTCTAGTAAATCAGTATTCCACAATGTATAACCTGAATAGAAACTTCTATTTTTAGATTTCACTCGCGTTTAGTGAATAAATTTGTATAACGGAAGAGACTCCAGATTGTGGGATCCTGGAAACACAGGTAGAAGCTGTGACTTCAGTGTTGGACTATTTGTTTAACGTGGTTTGCAGCACAACAATCTGTCTAGGGGTTCATTTACTAGACCAGTTAATCTCATAGTCCTGCAGTTTCTCAAACTGCAATCCCTAAGGCTGCATCAGACAGCCACAAGTTGCTTCCTGGTAAGCAGCTTTTGGTTGCTGACATGTCTTCACACTCTGCATGAGGACTTATTTATTTTATGTTTTTCTATGGGGATGGTCCAATGCCCTCACTGCACATGTGCATTATCTCTTGGCAGTGGAAGCAGAGTAGCTGGGGAGACCTGCACTGTCATAATGAAGTATACAGGGTAGCCAAATATTACCAAATCACTAACTTGATAGATATAACTGAAGGTCAGTCAAATCATTTACTATGAAGTAGCAATAGTATATGGATTAGTATCCTTGAAACAGACCTGAGACAGGTATTATCCAGAGGGTGTCAAAAGTTGAATAATTTGACTGACAGTTTTATATTTTTTTTTCATTTTTTTTCTGCTAGGGCAGAGAACATAGCAATTACCTCTTATCTCTGATAGTCTTTGTGGGATGACCTGCTGTGTTTTGTATGTAGTAAACTTCCGTTTATTGGGCATCCAATTAGAGGTTTTAACGTTTTTGAGCCAATGCAATAAAGCTAACTTTATTTAATTTCCTCTATCTGGACATAATCTCCCCTCCCCTTTCACTGTTACATATTTGTTAGTGGGTTTTTGTGTATCCTAGGTTTTCTGGTTGTAGTTCTGCATTATCACCCAGGACTACATGTATCCAGGAATTAGTGACTCTCATATGGTTGTATGAGGGTCAATATATTCTGTATTTATAGGGTTAAGCCCTTAGACACCCCTGGAGTCTCATTTAGGTGCTTGGGATTATTGGTTCTCACTTTTGTGGGGACCATTGAGTTGTCCTATTTTCATTCTCATAGAATGCCCAAAGTAATCTTACATTGGATAATTCATGGCCTTTCTAGCATTTAAATAAAACACAAACTACTAAAGTGTGACTACATCTTTTTTAGAATCGTCTCAATGAATGTTAATGGGCTTAATAGCGCACATAAAAGATATTTACTATACCAGGAAATCCAGGGCTGCAGTAATATGCCTCCAAGAAACCCATTTGTGTGCAAAGGATCTCCCTAACATATTCTTAGTGTTATCCCCAGGACTATCATGCATACTCGCCTAGTAAATCTAAAGGGTATTTAATTCCTGCAGATTGGGTTTTCCAACTGGATACACAATATATGGGTGCAATGGGACCTTTATTAATCTTGGTAGGCTCCCTAAATAGCATTCAAATTTATCTCTGCTTCCTTGTATGCTCTTAACTGTTCACAGCCTGAATTTAAAAATAAAAAATTAAGCACTAAAAGATTTTTGGAACTTCGTGTAGGTCATAAACAAAAATCTGCTCCTAATGCCAGTATTGGATACACACAATTAGAAATCTCGAAGATACTCTATAACTAGAAAACATATATCTGAGCATGCATAGAGATAAATAAATAAAAAAAAAAATTGAAAATAGATCAATAAGAGTTTATACACTGAATAAATGATAGGGGGCTCCCACGTATTGTATCTATTTCTTGACTTGTAGATACTATACGTGGGAGCCCCCTAAGTAAAGCTGACAATGTATTCAGTTTAATGATTCTTAGGTGTCAAAAGTAAACTGTAAAACAAAATGTCGATACAATGCAACTGCAGGGGAATCTGTTGCAATCAATATGAATTCAGACTAAATATATTAGTCATTATGTACCAACGAAAAGATACAATACAGGGAATCCCACTGAAAGGAGTAAAATACTCCCATATAGTATCTATGTATTAGAGAAAAAAGAGGAGGAACCCCTGTACAAAGTCAAAATTGTTAAGGTACAGGAGATTTTCTCACTATAAAATCTCTCTAATGATAAGGGTAATTTATTGTAATACTGTAGGGAACTTTCACTTTTTCCTTTTACATCAAAGTACTATATTAAGTGTGGATTGTGTTTTCCATACATATATTTCTAATATATCGTGATTATCGGCAACCACATGTCAACCTTTTTGGATAGATTGACGCTAGTCTGAACCATCCCGGACACCGTACTTGCTTCTATCCTTAGAGCCGCAATATGAACAATCAGACGAGGGCGGGCTATTTAAACCCCTGCATATCGGGCATTTGGTTCCCTTATATCAAAACTTTTGGAAACATTACTGCATTTATTACCCTTATCATTAGAGTGTTTATAGTGAGAAAATCTCCTGTACCTTAACGATTTTGACTTTGTACAGTGGTTCCTTCTCCTTTTTTCTCTAATACATCTACCTGTCCTCTCCTGATCTCTCTCCGCCCATCTTGACTCGTGTCTCTGACTGCCTCTCTTCAATTTCCAACTGGATGGCTGTTTACTTTCTTAAACTCAACCTGTCCAAAACAGAACTTCTGGTCTTCCCTCCCTCAAGTGTTACTACTCCCGTGTCTGTCTCCCTCCAAGTCAACGGTGCCACCTCTACCTCGCATGCTCGCTGCCTGGGTGTTCTTTTTGACTCCAACCTCTCCTTCACCCCTCATGTCCAATCATTTGTCAAATCCTGTTGCTTCCATCTCAAAAACATAGTGCGCATCTGCCCCTATTTAACCTGGGATGAGGCTAAGGTGCTGGTCCATGCTCTTGTTCTCTCTCGCCTTGACTTCTGCAATACCCTTCTCAGTGCTTACAGATTCCCAGATTGTACCGCTGCAATCCATAATGAATGCAGCAGCAAGGCTCATTTTCCTTTCCGTTTGTACCTTCAACGCTCTGTCAGTCCATTGGCTTCCAGGTGGATATATGGCTCAGTTTAAAATTCTGGTGCTTGCTTACAAGTCCCTACATAATGCTGCTCCAACCTACCTATCCATAATACACAAGTATGTCCCGTCGAGGCCCCTATGGTCTGCCAAAGAACTGTGTATATCCTCTGTCCGTACTCCCACCTCTAATGCTCACCTCCAAGATTTCTCCAGAGCTGCACCTCTTCTGTGAAACTCCCTTCTCCGTAAGACTTTCCCCCAGTCTCCACTCATTCAAAAAATCATTGAAAACTCACTTCTTCAAGAAAGCATATCAATTAAACTGTTAGCAGATTTTTATCCCCCACCACCCATGACTCCTCTCCTGCAACGGTCAAAAATTACCTACTAAGCCCTCAATGAATACTTTTCTAAAACCCTACTTCGTACCCCTACTTTTACCCTTTGTTTCACTATAGCCCACTCCTAGAATGTAAGCTCATTGAGCAGGGCCCTCTAGCCCCTCTGTTCCTGTACGTCCAGTTGTCTCGTTAAAATTACATGTCTGTTAGTCCACCCATTGTACAGCGCTACAGAACCTGATGGCGCCATGTAAACAATAAAATAATAATGGGACTCACTTATTATTGACCAATCAATGGTGGAGGCGCCAAATTTAAACCATAGTTTCTAAACACTCTGATCCCTTGAAGAGCCAGTTAGTGGTGAAATGTGCATCTGGACAGTTGTATATGAGGGTAGCTTGGACCTGGGGACTATGCTGCAGCCTTTATATTGATACTGTTGATTGCCACCTCACATATTATATTTTATTTCTAATTCATTTCATTTAATACTTTTCTTTTTTAGTTTTTTTAATTGTATCTTTGTATTTATCTTTCCTTTTCCATTGATTTACTATTTAGTTATCTAGTTTCAGACAGATCTATCTAAGGGGGGGTTAGTATTTTTACGGGGTGCCCTCGAGGGCAGAGTAGCTGTTATTTCAGTAGCTGCAGGGATGCACATGAAGGCACTACAAGTTTTTTTTCATTTGATGTATTTACTGCTACTATTCTGTTATTGTATCCAGACCTTTAATACATGAAAATGACCTTTTTGTGCCCTTGTCTTTTCTGTCCGTACTCGATATTAGCTGGGTAGTTACATTGTATCTGTACCGGCTACGTGACTCACGGCATTTACTCTGTAAATAGCCATGATATTTATTACATACGCTTGGTAGTTTTTTGTTTTATATAATCTTGACTGGCTTTTGGTGCAACTAAGTATTTGCACATTCTCTGGATCATTTTAGCTATACTAATAAATGCAGAGTTGTATTGTATATATATTTTTTTCTAATTACTTTTCCAAATTTGTGAGTTGCTATCTATTATGAATGTTCAAGTTGGAGTGAATGCCCTCCACTTCTCCTTTCATAAATGTTCGTTTTGTTTACTAACATTTGATATATGAGTGTTATCAATTATCAGTTAGAAGATAATCCAAGTTTATTAAATAAATCAATTGGGATTATTAAATCAAGATTTAAGTTTAGGAACCAAGCTTTATTGGGAATTATTAATTAATTAATTAATTACGCCCATAAATATATCTTAAAATTATGTACAGAATTAGTCTGTCAGTCACTTGCTAAAGAAAGTGTTTTAGCACACATACTGTGCAATCAAGTGTTTATGTAAAGTGAATGCTCTCTAATCAATACAAAAGTGTTCTGCGAATCTTAAGAGAGGTATATGTTACACCTGTTAAGGGTTTAACTTTAAGTTTTGATGTAACTTT